TCTCTCTCTCTCTCTCAGATCCAAAAAGGCCGCCATGACGTTCAGCATGCCTCAGCCGGTCCACGATCCCATAGTGAGTCATTATGACTCCGATGAAGAGGAGGAGACGGCGCCCATGTCGTACGACGAGAAGCGTCAGCTCAGCCTCGACATCAACAAGCTGCCCGGCGAGAAGCTGGGCCGCGTCGTTTACATCATCCAGTCCCGCGAGCCGTCGCTCCGAGACACCAACCCGGAGGAGATCGAGATAGACTTTGAGACGCTGAAGCCTTCAACGCTGCGGGAGCTGGAGAGATACGTCATGACGTGTCTGAGGAAGAAACCTCGAAAGCCATACGGTTAGTAGGATGAAGAGACGAGATCATAAAATCAATGAGTGAAACACTTTTTATCTTAGAGGTTTGTGCCTGTTTGATGTAAAACTGAAATCAACATAAAATACAGATTTTATTAATTATTGAGGAGAAAACAATCGAAGTGTTGCAGTGAAGTCTTTGATGATGAAGTACAGAACATCTTACTGACTTTGTTACTGCTCTGTTTGTGTGCAGCAAGTAAAAACAACATTGCTGGCAAGTCCCGAGAAGAGCTCGCTCTGGAGAAACAAATGGAGCTGGAGAGGAGGCTGATGGACGTCAGCGGTCAACTCAACTCTGGAAAGAAACCTCCGAAGACCAAACGTAAGTCCTCGATACTGCAGAACGGCTGAATGTTTTAAATATAAAAGGATTTACTTTTTATTACAAGCTCTAGTTTTCACAGTTTTTATGCTTCATCAATAAAAAAGTAAAAGATAAAATATTTTAATAAGATATTTATATAAACTCAAACTTCATACGTTGTCTTTCTGTCGTCTGTTAAGATTAAATGTTTTAAGTGACGTTGGCTGAAGAGCTGAACATGTTTTTGATTGTTTTTGTTTTCTGCAGCAGAGAAACCTGCAACAGAGCAGAACACTCAGCCGTCCCGTCTCAGTGCCAGCAGCTCCTCCTCAGACTCCTCCTCTTCATCCTCCTCTTCCTCATC